ATTCCTCTCCACACTTCTTTGATGTTATTAGCCTTTAACCTTCTCTCCAGCTTCCGTTTGTAGTTCAGCTTGGACTTTCTTAAACTCCTTTTCACCTCCCGCTGTATCTCCCTTCGCTTTCCCTTGTCACCAAACACCCTCTTCTTTTCATTTAGAAGATGCTTCACGTCTGCCGTGATCCAAGGTTTGTTGTTAGGAAAGCACCTGACAGTGATTAGGGGCAGGGCAATATCTGTGCAAAAGTTTATATAGTCTGTTGTGCATCCCACTATTCTGTCAATGTCAAAGTCAGTGGTTGTCCTTCCATTGTTGTCCTGTAGATCCTGGATAACACTCCAGTCGGTGCATTCAAAACAGGCTCTCAGGGATTCACTGGCCTCTGACGTCCACTTCCTGAATGTCCGAGTTGTTACAGGCTGAGTCATTACACAGGCTTGTATACAGGTCTCAGGTAAACCATGTTGTGGTCAGATTTACCAAGAGGTGGAAGTGCAGAAACAGTGTAGGCCTCTTTGACATTAACAAAGCACAAGTCCAAAGTTTTCTGCTCCCTTGTGGGACAGGGTTCCTGGTTGGTCTAGTCAGGACTCGAGCTGCAGCATTTTGGATGTACTGCAGCTGTTTTACCGCTTGTTTAGAGAGACCTGTGAACAAGCCATTGCAGTAGTCCAATCGACTGGAGACAAATGCGTGGATAAGAATCTCCAAGTCTGCTTTAGACACAATGTTTTTAATTTTAGCAATGTTTCTTAGGTGGAAGTAAGCTGATGATGTCACAGATGATATGTGGCTATTGAAATTCAAGTCTGAGTCCATTATTACTCCTAGATTTCTGACCTGAGTTGAGGGTTTCAGGGAGAGAGACTGGAGGTGGCAGATAACGCTCTCTCTTTGTTTCTGAGGTCCGAAAACAATAATTTCAGTTTTTTCTGTGTTTAGCTGGAGAAAGTTATTTTGCATCCAATCACTGATCTGTTGGATACAGTGAAGGAGCGAGTCCACTGGTCCATGTTCTCCTGCTGTCAGGGACACATAGACCTGAGTATCGTCAGCGTAATTGTGATAGGACACGTTATTACTGTGTATTAACCTACCCAGAGGCAGCATGTAAATATTAAACAGGAGAGGCCCCAGGATTGAGCCCTGTGGCACTCCGCAGGTCAGGGCCAGATGGTCTGAGACACAGTTTCCGATCTCCACAAAATACTTTCTGTCCTGTAGGTAGGATATAAACCAGCTTAGGGCTGTTCCAGAAACACCAACCCAGTCCTCAAGTCTCTGAATGAGGATACCATGATCGACAGTGTCGAAAGCAGCACTCAAATCTAACAGGATAAGAACTGAGACTTTTCCTGCGTCAGTGTTAAGTCTGATGTCATTTGTTACCTTCACTAGAGCGGTCTCTGTGCTGTGGTGGGGTCTAAAACCAGACTGGAACATATCAAAAGAGTGATTGATTATTAAAAATTCTGTAAGTTGTTGATAGACAACTTTTTCTAGAATTTTACCCATGAAAGGCAGATTTGAAATGGGCCGATAACTTTTAAGTGCCAAGGCATCCAGACTCCTCTTTTTTAGGAGGGGTCTGATGACTGCCGTTTTCAGGGCCATTGGGAATGTTCCAGATTCAAGAGACATATTTACTATATGCGTGAGTGAAGGTAAAAGACTGCTCAGAACAGATTTAAGAAATCTAGGAGGTAATACATCCAGGCTACATGTAGAAGAACTCAGACTTGTAATTATCATTTGGACAGTTTCATTTTGTACTGGTGTAAAGTGTGTCAGCCCAAAAAGCTTCACTGGCTGTTGGATTGTAATTTCTACTGTGGAGGTGATGGCATTTTTGATGCCTTGGACTTTGTCATTAAAAAACTCTGCAAACTCATTACATTTGGTTTTGGAGGTAAGCTCTGATGGCATCTTAACAGGGGGATTTGTCAATTTATTTACCGTTGAGAACAGAACGCGTAGATTGCCACTACAACCTTCGATTGTTTCGGAAAAATAAGTTTCCCTCGTTCTACGTAGCACACTGTTGAACTTGCACAATGCATCTTTGAAGATCTCATGGTCAACTTGGAGATTTGACTTTCGCCACTTCCGCTCGGCTCTCCGGCACTCTCTCTTCTGTGCCCTGACAGAGTCTGCTTTTGTCCATGGCGCCTTTTGCTTATTTGTAACAATTTTGACCTTTACAGGAGCAATCGTGTCCAGAACATCCAAAACACTAGAGGTGACAGAGTTAAGTAATTCATCCACAGTAGAACACAACGTGTTATCAAAGTTTATCATCCCCATGAAAAGTTCACCTGTATTTTTGTTTATGTGTCTTCTTCTTCTAACAATTGAGGATTCAGCTCGTGCTTTACTATTGAGACACATATCAAAAAATACACAGAAATGATCTGACAGAGCAACATTGGCCACATTTACATTTGAGATATTAACCCCTTTAGTAATTAGCAGATCGAGAGTGTGTCCTCTGCTATGGGTGGGGCCACTCACATGCTGAGTGAGACCAAAGGTTTCCAGCACAGAGCTCAGCTCTTTCGCGTATCTATCATTAACGTTATCTACATGTATATTAAAATCACCTATGACGACTAAACTATCAAAGTCTGTGCACACAACTGAAAGCAACTCGGTGAAATGATCAGTGAAACTATGACATGACTGTGGCGGCTTGTACACAACAATAATAAGAATAGAAGATTGTTTTTGTTCTATTTTAAAAGAGACATACTCAAATGAGGAAAATTTCCCAAGAGGTACTCTATGGGAGACAATACAATCTTTAAAAACTGCTGCTGTGCCTCCTCCTCTTTTATTTTCTCGAATTTCTGATTCAAATTTGAAATTTGGTGGTGTTGTTTCTATTAAAACTGCATTTTCTGTATTATGGTCAAGCCAAGTTTCAGTCATAAACATAAAGTCAAGATCATAAGAACAGATAAAATTATTAATTAAAAAGGATTTATTGCATAGTGATCTGACATTAAGCAGAGCAAGGTTAAAAATAATGTCAGTGTCAGTGGGTTTAGTTGATTGACTACAAAGAATTGGAATTAGATTTCCTGAGTTGGACCGTCTAACTGCTGTCCTTCTGTTATATTTGTGTTTATTCAAATTAAAACACATTTCTGAGCCGGTGCGAGGAACACAAACAGTCTCTATTGGTTTAAAAAGTGAACTCTGTTTTACTTTGTTAAGTTCCAGATGCATGGCTGAGTAAGCACCGTTCAGTGGCAGGACTGGTATTACACTGCCAGACGGACAGGGGTCAGTGTTTGCACCACAGTACTCACCCGGTGCTGGAGTGGAGGAGGAAGGTGGTAGTGGGGGCCGAGGGGCCTCGGATGTAAACAGTCACGCCCCCCTCGGGGAGCACTGAACAACATGGCGTAAAAAGTCCATCAATAAACTGGTACCGTATCTGTTCGGGTGCAGACCGTCTGGACGATAGGCCACGTGACGCTTCCAGAACAGGCCAAAGTTGTTCACAAAAACAAAGTTAAAAGTGCTGCATGTAGACTGGAGCCACATATTCAGCGCCACAACGCGACTGTACAAGCAGTCTCCCCGGTTTACAGTCGGGACTGGACCAGAGATAAAAACACACAACCCAGAGGACTGGAGAAGACGGAATAGATCCATAAAATGCTTCTTTGTGACCTCGGACTGCTGCAGCTTCATGTCGTTGATCCCCACATGCACGATTACCTTTGAAATGGTATCAGGCAGGGAGTGAAGCAGAGGAGGGAGACGTATGAGCAGGTCTGGTACAGTGGCTCCGGGAAAACACTGAGTGACCGCGTTAAAAAAGCGGACGTGCCTCACGATGGAATCTCCAACAATCAAAGTAGTCGGGGCGAAGAGTGGACGTAGCCGCGGAGAAGGCGCTCGGTGTCCATGGCCGGAACCAGCGGGCTCATCCAGGGATGAGTCCGAACCAGGGCGCTGCTGAACACATGGAGGGGAGCGGGGGTGTTGATTCTCAGCTCCGGGCAACCCACGCTGTGTGCTCGGGGACGCTGGAGCGGCGTGAGGAGCAGGCTCGGGTCGCTGCTGCTGACCCGGTGAAGGTAAGTGGTGGTGATGCACTGGGGTCAGAGAAGGGGAATGACCACTCTTTCGTCTGAGGACGGCTTCCTTTAGGAGCGTTTTTCTCGCAGTGGACTTAGATCCACGAACGGCAGAGTACGCTGCAGAGTCCAGGGGTTCTGCTGAGGGGGCTGGGATGTCAGTGGAGAGTGCTGCATAGCGGTTTGACAGGCTTAGGACATGGGCCACGGCGCTGGATGGCTCCTCGCAGTTCGCGGGTTCCTCATTCGGAACCGGGCGCTTAGGTGTAGAACAGGAGGGTCCAGAGCTGACAGACCTCTCCCACACGACAGTGTCACAGTATGCAGCGCTCAGTGACATAAGCCGTGAGTGCTGCCCGCCAGCGACATCAAAAAGTTTGGACACGAGTGACTGTTTGTCCTGCAGCTCTGCAGTGAGGCGAAGGACTTCTTTACGGAGGTCTGCAATAGTGGCACGGTCCCTCTCACGAAGCTCCAATGTGAGGCGACTAATGTCGTTCGTGGTCATTGCAGTGTCACTTTCCATGTCTGTGGTGCGCTCGTGGTAGCCTCCGAGCTAGCGCGTTTCGATTGGGTCTTTGTGTTAAAAGACGTGATGCTCTGGAACCATTGCATTTAAGGTAAAAACACTAGAGTGTATAAAAGACACTAATACACCGTAAAAACGTGTTTAAAAGGCTTTAAAAGGCTTTAAAAGGCTTAAAAGGGTAAACAGAGCAGAGACGTCAAAAACGCGTGCATCTAGTCCTGACCAACCGAGCGCAACCAACTCCACTGATGAAGGCAAGAAGTACACAACTCGACCAAGTGCTGCCACACTACATCCGGAGGTACTGTCTGATCTAAAAGAAATAAAAGCAGACATTGTACTCTTAAAAGACCTGAAGGCGGAAGTGACGCAAATTAGAGAATCAATCAAAAAAACTGAGAATACACCCCATCCGTATGGGCGAAGATCAAGTAGTTCTCCACCGGCCCCATCATCAGCCACAGTACAGATCTTGGGGCACTGAGTATGCATCGGCTGACCGCCGCCCACCTGAAGACCTGGAGCTGAGGTACCGCCCCACCCACCGTCCATGGATCAACGCGGGTACATCCCAGTTCCAGCAGGGCTATGCACCGCAGCGGTTTCCAGCGCCACGCCCTCGACCAAGGTGTTCCGGCTGCCGTGAGCGGGGAGAAGAATTCTGCCAGCATTGCTTTCGGTGCGGGAGGATGCAGGGGGTATATGCCATCCAACAACATGCGTGGCCAGTATTTAAACGGAGAGCGGTTACCCCCAAGGGACAGGGAGTAACCAGTGTGTCAACACAGTCCCAAACATGCATTACTTGTAGGACAGAGGGAACAGATCAAAACCTTCAGCAATGCTCAGTGTGCAAAGTAGTGCTTTACTGTTCTAGTAAGTGCCAGATTAGCCACTGGCCTGAGCATAGGGAAAACTGTAAACCATTTGCACCTACTAAACTAGTAAAAACAACAAGACATTCCTATGGTGCGGGAACAAACAAACAAAATATTTTGACAGAGAAACATCCAACAGTAACTGAACTTGTGGGAAAGAAGTGTCTAATTAACTGCAGTCTGCAGGGCATCACAACTCAGGCCCTTTGGGATACGGGGTCACAAATATCTGCTGTAGATGAGGGATGGAAAACCACATACCTGCCCGGCATAGAGTTGAGACACATAACAGAACTAGTTGATCCAAATGATCCTTTACAAATTGAAGCGGCCAATGGTACTGAAATGCCTTATGTGGGATGGATTGAAGTCAAGTTTCAGTTAGCTTCTGGGAGTGAGGAGTTTCTTGTGCCTATGTTAGTCATAAAAGGTAACCAGCAGCTCCGCCCAATAATAGGCTTTAATGTAATTGAGCGGATAGTTATCAGTGGACAAGAAATTCAGAGTGACAAAGACAGGTTAATAAATACTGTAAAGACAGCTTTCCCAAACTTAAAGCATAAGACTGTAAGAACATTTATTCAAGCAGTCAGTGTGAACAGGATAAGTGAGTACCTTGTTAAAACAGCAGGCCAAAAAGTACTGATCCCTCGGCGTACTGCAGTCCAAGTTAAATGTAGAGTGTGGACCAAACCCTTTAAAGAGGACACCACACTTGTTTTTGAGCCAGATGATAATCCTCACTGGCCTGAAGGGCTGCAGTTCTATGATACATTGGTTATAGTAAAAAAGGGGCCACATCCAAACATTATACTCAGTGTACAAAATCCCACTGATGACATATTGCTGACTGGTAAAACTAATATAGGTACGGCGCAGACAGTTACTTCTGTAAACCCAGTTAGTACTACTAATGAAAAAGAGACAGTTGCTCAAATAAATAATATTGAGGCTCAACATGTAGGTGGGGGAGAGACAAAAACAGAATTGTGGGACCCGCCAGTTGACCTTAGCCACCTCAACGAAAAACAGAGACAGATTGTCAGTGAGATGCTCAGGGAAGAATCCAGATCATTTTCAAAATCAGATAGTGACATAGGATGCATTGAGAACTTACAGTTAAAAATATCACTCAAAGACTCAGAACCTGTTGCACGAACCTATATGTCTGTCCCCAAACCACTGTATGAAGAAATGAAGAACTATCTGACCGATCTGATTGCACAAGGATGGATAGAGCGGTCACATTCCTCTTATGCCTCACCCATTGTGTGTGTAAGAAAAAAAGATGGCTCACTTAGGCTATGTATAGACTATAGGGAGCTTAATTTAAAGACTCACCCGGACAGACAGCCGATTCCCAGAATCCAAGACATTCTGGATGGCCTTGGTGGTAATCAAGTGTTTTCACTACTTGACCAAGGAAAAGCTTATCACCAAGGGTTTATGGCGAAAGACAGCAGACATTTGACAGCTTTTGTGACACCATGGGGTTTATACGAGTGGACTAGGATACCTTTTGGGCTCATGAATGCCCCTGCGGCCTTTCAGCGATGTATGGAGGAGTGCTTAGAAGACATTCGAGACAAGATTTGTGTCCCTTATTTGGACGATACGATAGTATTTAGTAAGACATTTGAGGACCATGTTGGAGATGTAAGAAACGTTCTGCAGAGACTTAGACAACATGGGATAAAGTTAAAGCCCAGTAAGTGTGAGCTTTTTAAACCCGAGATCCGTTACCTTGGAAGAATAGTCTCGGCCGAGGGAAACAAGATAGATCCCTCTGACATTGCTGCAGTAACAGTACTGCCAAAACGGTGGGGGAACTAAGAAAGGTAATGGGACTGTTGAGCTACTACCGACAGTATATTAAAAACTTTTCTCAAATAGCCAGTCCCCTGTATGAGCTCATCAAACACCCGGCAGAAAGAACTCGGGCAAAAACAAAGACACAGACCAAGAAATATAACAAGAAAAGGGCAGATATAGTGCCGTCTAACACTCAGATAGACTGGACTGATGCTCACCAAATCGTTCTTGAAACACTTATTGATTGCTTAGTACACCCACCTGTCCTTGCGTATCCGGAGTATTCACAGCCCTACATCCTCCATACCGACGCGTCCAACAAAGGGTTAGGAGCGGTTTTGTATCAAAAACAAAATGAAAATCTTCGAGTCATTGCCTACGGCTCTCGAACATTGTCAACTTCAGAAAAAAACTACCATCTGCACTCTGGGAAATTAGAATTCCTAGCCCTTAAATGGGCCATCACAGAAAAGTTTAGGGATTATTTGTACTACGCCCCTTTCTTCACAGTTTACAGTGATAATAATCCCTTGACATATGTGTTATCCAGTGCAAAACTTAACGCCACAGGGAGTAGATGGGTGGCGGAATTAGCAGACTTTAATTTCACTATTAAGTACAGGCCCGGCAAAGAAAACATTGATGCTGATAGATTGTCAAGGATGCCAATAGATGCTGAAGAACTTATGAAACAGTGTACTGAGGAAATGTCTTATGATGCTGTTGGTACTACAGTTCAAGCTGTGGAGATGCCCGAATCCACTGCATCTTGGTCAATGGGTATTAGTGTTAACCACGTTTTGGACTGTAAAAGTATCCCTATTGTCTCACTAACACCTGCACAGCTGAAAAATGATCAATCTACTGACCCAAATATTGGACGAGTATTGACATTTAAATTGTCCAAAAAGAAACCCACGAATCAACAAATGAAAGACTGTAGTGCACAGAGCCGAGTCCTTCTACGCGAATGGGACAGGTTACATCTGGATAAAAATGGAGTCTTGTGGAGAGAAACAGCCCACAGGAAACAGTTGGTGTTGCCTGAAGAACACAAAATGACTGTATTACAGGAACTACATAACAACATGGGGCACCAGGGTACGGACAGGACTGTGTCACTTGTGAGAGACCGCTTTTTCTGGCCGCACATGCAACGGGACATAGAGCTATATGTAATGAGTTGTGCTTGTCTTAAACAGAAAAAGCCCAGCAGGGAATCTAGGGCGCCACTCGTGAACATTGTGACAACTCAGCCATTCGAAAAGGTGTCAGTGGACTTTCTCCATCTCGACAAGTGTAGAGGTGGGTACGAGTACATATTGGTCATAGTTGATCATTTCACCAGATTTGCACAGGCGTACCCCACCACCTCAAAATCCGGCAAAACTGTAGCTGATAAAATCTTCAATGACTATGCACTAAAATTTGGATTCCCATCACGCATTCATCACGATCAGGGTGGTGAATTTGAAAACAATCTGTTCTCTCAGTTAAGCAAGTATTGTAGTGTTACTGGATCGAGGACTACTCCATACCACCCGCAGGGTAATGGACAAGTAGAACGCTTTAACAGAACATTGTTGCAGATGCTAAAAACTCTCACAGACAAAGACAAACTAAACTGGAAAGACTCCTTAAATAAGTTGATCTTTGCTTATAACTGCACCAAAACAGAAGTAACTGGGTTTTCTCCCTTCTACTTATTGTATGGTCGTTCACCAAGATTACCCATTGACATGTTGTTTGACTTACCTGTTGGGGCAGGAAGGGGTAGTCAACTTGAATATGTGGACGAATGGCGCAAGGGAATGCAGGAGGCATATAACATTGCAAAGGAAAATGCACAAAAAGCTGCTCAAAGAAACAAAAAGACGTTTGATGCAAAAGTGAGAAGCTCTCTGTTGGGTCCAGGTGATCGAGTGCTGCTGCGCAATATGACACCTCGCGGTGGCTTGGGGAAATTGAGAAATCACTGGGAAGATCACGTCCACATTGTAGTCAGACAAGTAGGAAAGGATGTCCCAGTGTATGAGCTCAGTCCAGAGCACGGAAAAGGCAAAACTAGGGTACTTCACCGGAATCTACTTTTGCCCTGTGATCACTTGCCACCAGAAATAAAAACTCCTTCACCTGTGAAACCAAAAAAGGACAAAACTGTGGAGAAAACTTCAACACAAGATTCGGAGGATGAAGAAGACGAATACTATGTCCCAGTGTCAACTGTACGAGGACAGCCGGATATGACAGAAAATGACTATGAGCCTAACATTAATCAACCATCAGAACCTGTCCTGCTTCAGCTTGAGGACGCCGCTGGAAGTGTGGATGTGCCGGAAAAGGATGTAGACGATATGGAGGGGTCTTCGATTGGGAGCACGCAGGAAGAAGAGCTGCAGCGAGAAGCTCCACGCCCACAAAGAAAACGTAGGGCGCCAAGAATGTTCAGATATGACTCACTCGGGACTCCGTCATGCTATTATGTTGATGCAGTTACACCTTATGGGCCTCCTGCATGGCATGTGCCAATTTTCTCGTAATAGCAACACTAACTCTTACCTTTGTGGGATTTGATTTGAACCAAATTCAAATTGGACAATTGTTTTGGTACTAAGGTTAATGTTTTGTTATTGTTACTCACTGGTAATTTGAGGATGCAACCAGTTTTTTCATGCTTTTGCAGGTTCTATGTGTTTTGTGTGTGTACCTGTGACTTGGAGTACTACTTACGGAAATGTTGCGGACAACATTTATTTTTGTGGGGGAGTGTGTAACCAGATGATTTTAGTTGTTAATGCAGTTACGTGGAGTGTCCAGCAGGGGGATACGCTCTTGAGCTTCACCTAGGCTACGTCTTTCCTCATTCATAAACCAGCAAGGCTTGAGGAAAGACGTGTCCTGGTCTTATTTTTATTTTATCCCCTTTTCAGGTATGGTATGATATGCAGAATGTCATAAACCAGTCATTATTGTTTTATATT